TGAGTTAAAGGCATTTGAAATTAGAAATTGCTAATGAAGTGACGTCAACCAAGGAATTGGTATGGACGTTTTTGATTGTTTATGATATATTGCGTTTGGTTCAAATGGTCAAATCTTCAACAGCAATTATATTCAAGAACAGGAAATGTTGTTTCTGATCTAAAAAAAGWATTATGTCATTATTTGTGATTTTGCATATCAAGTAGTTCCTTAGTAGACGTCACTTAATTTACATTTTTTGATTTTCAAATGCTTTTAAATCAGAAGATATAAATTGGAATATATTTTTTCCTTTGCAGAAGTGCTTAGCAGTATGTTATCTTTTGAATGAATTGATTTTCTAAAAGGGTTCATGTTCACTTAAAAATACCAAATGGGATGATGGTTGGTTTTTCATACTTWAACAACAGCCACTTATTACATTTAAAAATACAACTCTCAATCCGCAAACTTTATACAATTAATAACTGTATATTGCAAACATGAAAAATTATCGTACTAACATATTTTTTATTGTTATTTAATTTCATCTGCGTAGGATAATTTTTTACCAAAGTAATTGCAATATCAGCATATGTCGCGTAATCGCCACGACATATATTATGGTCTCCCTGTCCTTGTAATAATTATGGGATACTGTATGTAAAAGCACATGGAAATATTGTATGGCGAAAACGCGATTAAACATAGAACCAGAACCAGACTAGTAGTCGTACCAACATTTCTCTTCGACACATGGTCCCGAAACTCACCCTTAACAATAGTTAAGGCATTCAAGAAAAGAATTATTACGATTACAGAAGGATTGACGAAGAAACTGAGTTAGAAACCATCGATAAAACTCACCATGTCACTGTCTCATCTCAAGGGGATGAGAACACGCTACTCAAACTTACTTGCAAAAGAATTAGACAAAGCAAAACCACTACTGACAGCCGAATCAACAGCAGATGAACACGCACTTCAAAGTAAGATAACGAATTCACTTAGAAATCTAAAAGAATACTATCAAAACTCGAA